AATCACTAAAGAGTCTGGAGTAGGGAGTGAAGGAATCAGATCTGCATCTAAACAGAGAAACCATTGCAGCTACAGGACGTGTCTTGGGATGGAGAGCTCCAACCCCGACCTAAATCCTTGAGTTCTCTCCCAGGTTACCCCACACTGTACTTCTAGCTCTCGCTCTTAATGGAATCCCTAAATGGGTATAGGATGCAGGGCTTCAGAAGACATCTCCCTCCTTAACACCTGAGCGGCTCCCCAAAAGAGACAGCCACATCCAAATCCCTGGAACATGTGAATGTGGCCTTATTTGGAAAAAGGGTCTTTGTAGATGTGATTAAGTCAAGGATCTTGAGATGAGATCAGCCTGGATTATCTAGATGGGCCCTAAATCCAATGATAAATGTCCTTAGAAGAGGCAAAAGAGAAGACACAGACAGAGGGGAAGAGACCATGTGACCATCGAGGCAAAAACTAGAGTGATGCCACCACAGGCCTAGGAAGCCAAGACATGCCAACAGCCACCAGAATCTGGAAGAAGCGAAGAATGATTGTCCCCTAGAACCGCCAGAAGAAAGCCCTGCTGTCACCTTGATTTCAGACTTATGACTTCCAGCACCGTGAGAGAATAAATTTCTGTTGTCTTAAGCCAGCTAGCTTGTGGTAATTTGTTACAGCAGCCACAGGAAACTAATACATCCCCATGCTGTAACTAGGAAGATTCAGCCTCAGGACCCTTCACCATCAGTGGACCCTCATGAACCAGAACACTTCCTTTCTGTTTAGAAGGTGTGACTGTAACAGAGGCAAGAAGCCAGGCTAGACTATCAGTGGATCCTTCTTCTTTGTACCGCTTGGCGTTGAAAGGACACCTTGGCCCACACCTAGAAAGCATATCACCAGAAGGAAGCATTGGACAAATCAATGGAGCTGGGTCTTTGGCCAAGGTCCAAGGACTCTGAGAGTGAAGCTAGAATGCTGGCAGGGCTGCGTGGGGACTAATGGTTTGGGAAGAGCAGGGAGGGCGGTGAGTTGTTCTATGGTGGTGGGCACAGATATGGCAGGGAGGACTGTTGTTCGAACAGGATTCCTAACTCCAGTTTCCCAAAGGGGACTGTGGTGCTCTGGAACATTCAGCTTGGCTTTTAGGGTGGGCTTACTAGGGCTGACATACTGTGAGACTTCATTCACCAAGAGTTCCTTAAAGCACCCACTGTATGCCGGCTTTGTTCTGCACTCTACCCATCTAGGTATCTCCCAGAGCACAGTCAATGTCTACACTTCCAGACAGTGAGAAGCCAGCCCAGCCCTGAAAGCATCAGTACTTGACCTTCAGGTTTGCACTACGTGTCTCTTCCCTGGGGAAGCCTTACGTATATCTGTGGATGAGTCAGGTTCCTCTGTTAGACTGAGGCTTCTCTTTTGGAGGCCTGATCAACATTGTACTGTACTGATATAACTATCTTCATGAAAGAACAGTCCACGCCTTTCTCCTGACTAGCTGTGAGCACCCCAGTAACCAGCCTGGTCCCTGGCTCACTGTAGGTGTCCAATAAGTAGTTGAAGAACTAACCAGATCAATTCTCAGGCCCATCTGAGTTTTCAAAAGGAGAACGATTTCACCTGGTAGTTTCAAACCCTCTGAGAGCACCAGCAGCTAGGGGCCCAGGCTTAATCTCAAGAGAAGGAAATAGGATCAAAGGTGAAAGGCCTGGGGAATAAATAAAGCTGCATGTGGGAGGTAGAGAAGATGTCACCTCCAAACCCAGGGTTGCCAGAGGCCAAAATTTCACAACCCTCCCTCCGTGAGGAGGGATCCTTGTGCCAATTGGTTTAAGTCTTGGCCAAGATGGCATCCCATACTTCCTTTTTTATAACCCCATCTCTCCTCCCAAAAACCTCCCCCTCCTGAACATTAATTTCACATTTTGAATAGCATTTGGAGGGACTGGACTCTGACAACATCCAGAGTCTCATCAAAGTACAAAAGGACACGTGACTCATCACAAGTTCTCCCCAAAGGGTCTTCGGCTTACGTTTTAACAAACGAGTGACATGGTAAATCGGGATTGCAGACTGGTTGCCACCAGACCTCCTCTGTAAAATAGGGAAATAACGGTGCTCACCACGGATGGGAGAAAAGTTGCGAATGAGGGCGAGCAATCAGTGCAGTGCCTGGCCGCAGTCGCAGGACCAGCAGCAGCAGGGACCACAGTTGTTCTTCTAACCTGTGGTGTGATGAGTCAGAAGGTCTCTTTGAATCGGGTGAGGGTGGGGCAGAGGAGGTGAGGAAGGAAAGTATCAAGAAAGAAAGGCACCCATTTAGTAGAGTACAGAAGGAGCTGGCCAATGAAGAAGGGTCTCAAGTCCCCTCGGCCTCCTTGTTCTGGGTCCTACCTCTTGCCTCTTGTCTGAAGCTCCATCAGGTAGACCCTGTTCCATTATGCTTGCCTCTTTCTTTTTATAAACACCTGCTCTAATGGACTAGCCTTATAGATTTGTTTATACTAACATGTAAATGACTGTTGGGGCTTTGCTCATTTGCATAAGGGGAAGGGCTTTCAGTTGAAATGAACACCATCGAGTGAGTGGGGGAGGCAGAGGGCTTTCTCAATGATTCAGAAAGCACAATGCCTATTCCATCTGGAAAACCAGCAGGTATTCTACAGTCTGGCTGTGCCAGGCGGGCCAGGCCATTTTGGTTTTGGTTAAACTGGCTGAGCAAATTCTGAACCCTCCATCCTCTTCCTGGAAGTAGGAAAGTAGGCAGGACCATGGTGGGGGGAGAGGTGGACAAGGGATGCTAGACAGAACAGAGGTACACAGAGCAGGAAGGGATGACTCCCTCCAAATGTGCTTCTCGGGGAAAGCAGCACTGCCAGGGGGAGAGCAGAACTCTAAAAAGCATGACTTTCAAGGTAATGACAAGTAAGGGGTTCTAGCCTTCCAGCTCTTTGGGGTACCCTCAGACCCCTTCCATGGGCCCTCCCGCCCCATGAGACATTGCAGGTCATGGCTGGCATTTTCAAGAGAAGCCCATATCATGGGAAGATGCAGTAACCCACAGTCAACCTGGATACTGCCTGGGCCTCCCCATCTGCCCTGCAGCCTGGTCCCAAAGTTAGGACTGGACCAGATTATGATGGGGAGTCGGGGGTCAGCTGGAGAATTCAGGTTACCAGAGATGGTCAGCACAGAGATCGTGGAAAGGACTGGTGGAGAATGCCACCTGCCCTCCCCACAGCATGGCCCCATCCAGCATGCTTCAGGACAGTGTGATGCCAGAGTGTGAAGGGCCTGGCCTCCAGCAGCTCCTAGGAAAGGGGCTCCAAAACAGAAGAAACAGAGATGGGTCAGAGCCAGTCCTGGAACACAAACACCGGTATATTTTGTGTGCATGAATGTGAAAAGAAAGAGACAAAGAGACCAATGGAGACAGAGCAGGCAGGGTGCACAAACCAGGCATGTATCCTTCCGAAGAGGTGTCATAGCTGGGAGACAGTCCCACCCGCCTCAAAGCCCCTTTTGTAGAGCAGGGACCTGCCGCTCCTCCAGGCCTGGGGTGGCCTCAGAGTGGAAGGTGCTTTCCCTGCCTTAGCCGTAAGCCCTCCAGGCCTGAGCCTCCCAATTTTCTGCATCCCCTGTGGTGGTGTCTGCATAGCCCAGAGCTCTATAAATACAGGTTCTCCTAACTGACCCACTCAGTGGCTGCCTCCCCAGGAGACCCATGCAGAAAGTGAGGGACCAGGACAAAAGGACTTCATGGGCACTCCCTAGGTATTATTGCTGTGAATAAGCATAGACCATTGTGACTCACTGGCATGGGGGTGGGGGGGACACGGCACAAGGGACAGGATGCCTAGCAGATGTCAGAAGCGATTCAACCATGCAGGCCAGCACATGGCGATCTGTGACTCAGAGATGCTGCCATGTCCTGTGGAGAGAGGCCCAGGACACCAGAGGTTCATAAAAAGTGAGCAGATTCTCTGCTTTGCAGGGCTGGGATTACTCCAAACTTTGAGTCCTTGGGCACTATGGGATTGGGGCCCTGAAGACACACAGATCCTGTGGTCAAGCTCCAGGTCATCACCTCCCTTTGCTAGGGGCTCTGTCCCCTATAAGGGAGAATAGGAGCCTCAGGGCACCTGGATGAAGCAGAAGTACAGTGCTCTGCACGTTGCCAGGCAGGCAGGTTTACTCGGGGACCTCTCGCACTTGGGAGTTTTTGTAGGGCCCCGAGAGATAGTGCCAGGGAACAGACAGGGCAACCTCTGGAGCGGCCAGACCCAGTGGGCCACCCAAGGGCTTGCCCTGGCAGAGAATCATGGAGGCCTTGGGCTGGGAGACATCAACAAGCTGACCACCAAATTCTGTCGTGGAGGGGAGAGCAAAGGTGAGTAGTGTGGTCCAAGGGGCTTAGAGGGGTAGTGGGGTCCAGGAGACCGAGATAATGTGGATCAAGGGGAAAAGACCGAGGAAACAATTACTGACAGAACCGGGAACCAGACACTATTCTTCCTCTGGAATCCCCTCCACCTGTAGATGGAAAGCAATTGACCCCCACTGGAAGGCTGAACCCCTAGAAGCCCCAAAGCCCTGGAATTGGGGCCACAGTAAAATCAAAGGTAGGGTTAACCCCTGCAGAATGTAGGTTGTGCCTAGACTGGAGGAGCCTGCCCAGGACGTAGAGGCTGGGGATCGCCCTTCAAACTGTCCTGGACAGGGTCACTGCAGAACACAACCCTGCCAAAGGCAGAGTCTCCCAGCCTTTCTCCCAATCCAGGACACCACCCCTGCCCACCCCCCGCATCCCCACGCTGGCCTGTGCCCTAGCTGGTGCTGTCTGCACAGTCTAGGTGGAGCAGTACAGCAAGAAGAGGAGATTCTCTCCACAGGTGGTATTATCACTTTTAATGTTCTATAAAAAGGGAAAGGCTGATTTCTACCTAAGAGTCATAGTGTGGTCAAGAAGAGACCATGTACCGTGGGAAAGGCTGTGTTCTGATGGACCCCTCCACTCAGGGAGGGGGCAGAGCTGGAAGTGGGCTGGAGTTAGGATTTCACCTGTCTACTGCCAGCAATGGACCTGTCACTGAGGAAGGCGGGGCAACCGAGATGACAATGCCCATGAGCACGGCAGGGTTAATACTGTTTAAGGAGCAAGCTCAGTGGGTCAGCCTTTCTGGGAGGGCTGAGGACGGGGTAGCCCTGAGGAGGTTTTGCTGCAGGGCTGGGGCTATGGCAGAACCAGTACTGACCCATTCCCACTAAGGATGCTTCGAAGACCCTCCCAAAGCTGAAAGGCTCTTTCTCCCTCCCTCAGTCTCCATGACTCTCCACCACTGCATACCGGCTCCTCCACCACCTAGAAAGCTAGACTGTCCCGGCTGGTTTGAAAATAAACCAGTCAGGTACCTTTACTGCCCAACTTCCCCCCTTCACACTGATTTGTCTCTAGGTCCCCACTGTGGATCCATGGGGCTCATGATGGCCTGAGTCTGCGTTGGGGGTATCATTCATTTTTAGCCACTGCAAGGAGGTGAGCACCAGGGGCCCTGCCACAATCCCCCAGACCGGGGCAAGTGGGGAGGCATAAGGGGGGACTTCTCAGGAATCGGGCCATCGACAATAGTGGAGGGAAGGCTGCAAGAGGGTGGGAGGGGTCTGCTCAGGGCTCTATCTCTGGCAGCTGCTGTGTTGCCTAGGGAGTTGTGGGTGGGGCAGGTGGGGTGCTTACATGGATAAAGGGGCTGCTAGTGGTAAAGGCTTTGAAAATAAGAGAAAAGGGGGAAATGCTGCCGAACACACAGGGATTGAAACCTCCAAAAGCCCAAGGTTGGTGGGAATCCAGCACCAGGGGGGGAGCCCCCGAAGGCCAAGGGATCAGCGTGGGACCCTGGGGGAGGGGAAAGGAGCCAAGGGAAGACCTCCCAGCCCTTGCAGACCAGCACTCCTGCCCAGCAGCCTCCTGGCTGCCCAGTCTCTTCTTAGGCTGCAGCTCAGCAGGCCCCTGGGGGAGGTATTGGTTGCAAGCAAGCACCTGAATATTGCCTAATGGAACCAGCTGAAGCCCAACTAAACCAGGTGAGAGGGAGGCAGGTGGCCCCCGCAGCAGCCCAAAGCCTCCTCAGGCTTTGCCTCCCACCTTCTGCTCCACTCTGTGTCCCTTAGTCAGGACAGGGCCTGCTGCTTCCAAAGTCACCCACGTAGTCCCGTCCCTGTGTAGCCACAGGCCTCCCGCCGCTGAGCTGGGCTGAGATCCACAGACCCTACCCGAAGTGCCCCTGCCGCCTCCACACCCCGCCCCCAACGCCTGACCACGCCCCCAACGCCCGCCCACGGTGGCGGGGGGTGGGGCACGGGGGCTCCGAGTGCCCTACGGGGCAGGGCTTGTGCTGTACAGAGGGGGCAACCCTACCAGCTTGGTACCCTTGTCCACAGGATCCATGAGAGCCTCCCAGCCCACCCCCCTCCCCCAGCTCAGTCAGTCTTGACGTGGCCGTTGGCCAGGGCCAGGGGGCCGCTGGGCTCCCCGGGCTCGGCGTTCTTGTCAAAGCGGAGGCGGAGGGTGTTGCGGATGATGAACTGCTCCATGATGAGGGCCCCGCAGAACCAGGGCACGGCGTACTCCAGGGTGATGAGGCCCATGAAGTCAAAGTCGAACTGGGAGTAGTCCCAGGGGCAGGCGTTGAACTGGCGCAGGATGAAGCCGGTGGTGAACTCCCACAGGTAGGTCCAGAGCGTGTAGATGAGGCAGCGCAGCAGCAGCGGGCAGCGGCCGCGCAGGCGCAGGTACATGCGCTCCACAATGAGGATGGACGTGCCGTAGATGAAGAGCGCCCACACGCTCGTGACCCCCGGGAACTTCCAGTTAAAGTTCACCACGAATTCCCAGGCCGCCGTGAACATCACCTCGCAGAAGTAGCCATGGATGGCGTACAGGTACCAGCGGGACAGCGCCGTCAGGGGCTCGGCGGAAGCCATGGCGCTGACTGGGGCTGGCTGTTAGGGAGGCAAAGGAGACACAAGTGAGGGAGGAGGCCCACAGACTTGCCCGCCCCAAGTCTCTGGAGTGACCAGGCCGGAGGGGATTTCAAACCTGCCTGTACCTTTCTCTTTTAGTTACTCATCATACTCCTAACCCTATTCCATGTTCATTACTTTATTTCATATTCCTTACCTGAGCCAGGGAGGCATGAGAAATAAAAGGAGGAAAACAAACAGCCCCACTGGCTTCCTCTGAGAAACGCTACTCAAGTGCTACTTGGAGAGAGGTGTCTACTACCCTCCCTATAATAACTTCTTAGGATGATTGGTAGTCAGTGGAAGAGTACCCCCATTTCCAGGCTACTTGCTAATTTTTCACTAGGCCCATCCACTGGGGTCCCCATCTCTTCCCCCACTTCTTCTCAAACTCAGGTGAGTTCCACATCACTCATACTTCAAGTGAGCTCTTTCTAAGCAGCCCGTCACATGTGTCTTTTATGTGTGTGTATGTGAACCTATACATAACATAAAAGTTACCATTTTAACTGTTTTAAAGTATACACTGAAGTGATATTAAGTACATTCTCATTGTTGTGCCGCCATCACCACCATCCATCTCCAAAATGTCTTCATCATCCCAAACTGAAACTCCGAACTCATGAAACACTGTCTATCTCCCCATCCCCTCTCCAGCCTGCGGCAACCACTATTCTACTTTGTCTCTATGAATCTGACAACTCTAGGTATCTCGTTTAAGTGGAGTCATGCAGTATTTGTCCTGTTGTGACCGGCTTATGTCACTGAGCCTAACGTCTGCATGGTTCATCCATGTTGTAGCATGTGTCAGAATTTTCTTCCCTTTTTAAGGCTAAATAATACTCTGTTGTGATCTACCTAGATATATTTTGTGTGTCAATTCATCCATTAATGGGTGTTTCCACCTTTTGGCTATTATGAATAATGCTGCTCTGAACATGGGTGTACAAATATCTGTTCGAGTCCCTGCTTTCAGTTCTTTTGGGTATTTACCCAGAAGTGGAATTGCTGGATCATATGGTAATTCTGTTTTTATTCTCTGAGGAGTGGCCTTGCTGTTTTCTACAGCAGCTGTACCATATTACATTCGCACCAGCAATGCACAAGGGTTCCAATTTCTCCATATCCTTGCCAGCACTTATTTTCTGGTTTCGTGACGATGGCCATTCTAATGGGTGTGAAGTGGTTGCATATTGTGGTCGCATTTGTTTTTAACTGCTCCATTAAGTGGGGTTTTGGTGTTTAGTTTCGATACTGAGAGGAAACCAGTGGGCTGACAGAGGAGAGAGTCCTCTCCTTTACTTCTCATTCCCTTCCAATCCTCTCTTTTAAACCCCACTGGCCTTCAAGGCCCCATCATGCTTCTCCGAAGACTGGCCTGGTCCTCCACCAGCGACTGTGTGGACCACTCATTTGACCCTTTACTCAATGCCACCCCTAGTTCCTATCCAACCAGCCTGTGTACTCCTTGATGGCAGCAGCTGTCTCCCGGTCCTCTGTTCTGTGGCCTTGGTACAGTCCTCCCCTGAGCAGGTGTTCTCTAAATGACACGTCATTTATGTGGAGGGTGGGGCGGGAGAGTTCAGGGTTATATCAAGAACGGGCAGGCAGAGCAGGAGAACAGGAACCCCAGCTGCCAGTGGACTCCAGGCTGACAGCTCTGGCAGTCCTCTCTCCGAGGTGGCAGAAGGGACAGAGGTTAACAAGATGACATTTGCAGTCTGCCCACCTGTCTGGGAATCCCAGCCTTACGTTTCAGCTAAAGCAGACCTAGTCACAATAATGCCTACCCATGCACATTGCTTGGTGGTCTTCCAATCACTTTCATTCACATTTTGTCATTGGTTCTTACTAAATTAAGACTCGTGTGAAGGGCAGGTAGTTTGACTTCCATTTTTTAAGAGAGGTAGTTGAAGCTCAGAGAGAAGTCATTTGCCCCATATCCCAGGGCCACTGAATGGAAGACGTGAGACTAGAATCCGTATCTTTTGATTTCGACTTCAAAACTCATCATACTTCAGCCATCTCCTAGACATGCGTGCCTAATGTCACTCCCCTGCTCAAAAACATTCAATGGTTCCCCATTTGCTAATGAAACGCTGCAGTGTCGTTGGCCTGGCATTCAAGACTCTCCCTGATCTCACTCCAATCTACTTTTTCAGCCTAATTCTCACAGTCCAGCTCTCCGCGTCTTACCACCATCCCATCTAATGTGTTTTATGTGCCTTTCTCCTCTTGCCTCCACAAGTACAAACCCAGCTTACAGGTTACCTTCAGAACAAAATCTTTTTCATCCTCCCAACCACAAATCCTTTCTTCCTCCCCTGAATATCCACAGCATGTACTCTGTCTCTCTTTGGTACAGATGATTTTGTTTCACTGTTGATGACTTTCAGTCCCCAGCCAAACAGCTTTCCTGTGTTCTACACCTATTTACCCCACTCCTTCCCGAACACCTCCACCTAAGTGTCACATAGGCACCTCATATTCCTTTCCCAAATCAAACTCATTATCTTCCCTCCCAATATCTCCTATGACCCCCACCATTTGTTTTCTTTTTCTTTTGGAAATTAGAACACTTTGTGCAATGTTTTGGTCCACTCTTAGCTTCTTTTTTCTTTTTAAATTATGCAATTAAAGGAGCACACAGCACACAACTCAACACAGAGAGTGTGGGAGGACCGGCCAGTGATAGGAGCCCAGGCCTCTGGCCTCAGGCTCGAGCTCCCCTCGCTGCTCCGGCCATGGCACCGAACAGCAGCCCCTCAGGGCCCGGGAGGGTGAAGGGGGAAGGCAGTTCCAGCCCCAGCAGCTTTCCCGTCCCTACTGGTGCCCGACTGTCAGCGTGTCTTGTCCCACACCTGTGGCCGGGAGGGGACCGCTTGTCCTCTGTCCAGCAGAAGGGGTGGTCACCTTCCCTTGCTGCGAAGCGAGTACGGAGGGCCTCCCACTGGAGGTGCTGCCTCAGGCCAGGTCACCCAGGTCCACCTCAGGGATCGTATGACCCCCATCTTTTTTTTTTTTTTTAATGTTGCCTTCACAAAGGAGGTAAAGCCTGGGCTGTGTTTTGTTTTGTTTTTTAAAGAAGATGTTGGAGGTAGGAGTTTATTAATTAATTTATTTATTTTTGCTGTGTTGGGTCTTCGTTTCTGAGCAAGGGCTTTCTCTAGTTGTGGCAACTGGGGGCCACTCTTCATCGTGGTGCACGGGCCTCTCACTATCGCGTACTCTCTTGTTGTGGAGCACAGGCTCCAGACGCGCAGGTTCAGTAGTTGTGGCTCACGGGCCTAGTTGCTCCGCAGCATGTGGGATCCTCCCAGACCAGGGCTCGAACCCGTGTCCCCTGCATTAGCAGGCAGATTCTCAACCACTGCGCCACCAGGGAAGCCCTGACCCCCATCTTGATTAATGGTACCACCATGCACCCAGTTAGCAGAGAGAGGTCATTCTTGCTTCCTCTGCCACTTCCCCCCTTTAATCTGAACTCCCTGAAAGTAAGGACTTTGATTCAGCACTGCATCCCCAGGTGCCTAGAATAGTGCCTCGCACACAGTAAGCATTCAGTTCAAGAGTGAAGACATTCTTGGGACTTCCCTGGTGGTCCAGTGGTTGAGTCAGTCTTACTGTGCAGGGGACACTGGTTCGATCCCTGGTCAGGCAACTAAGCCCATACGCGCAATGAAGAGCCCGTGCACTGCAACGAAAGATGCTGTGCGTGTCACAACTGAGACCCGACGCAGCCAATAAATAAATATATACATTAAAAAAAAAAAAGAATGAAGACATTCCTATCACTCAGCAATTGCTACATAACAAATCATCCCCAAACTCAATGGCTTAAATAAACTCTCATTTATTATTACAACTCACGTGCCTATGGGTTGGCAGATCTTGGCTGGCCTCAGTCACAAGGCTGTGAGTCATCTGGGGGCTCTGTCCTATGCTTGGCTGGGATGGCTCTGCTCCACTTGCCTCTTGTCCTTCTTCTGGGCCTAGTGGACTAGCCCTGGCAAGGTCTTCTCATGGCGAGAGCGGAGGCCCAAGAGCGAGCAACCCCACTGCACCGGTGCTTTTCAATACTAGTTAAGTTGTTAAGTCACACCCACTAACATCTTGTTGGCCCAAGCAAGTCACATGGCAAAGCCACCAAGTCAGCCATTAACGCCTATCCTTTCTACCTCTTAAACATCTTTGAAATCCATCTCCTCCTCGTCATTCCTGTTTCTCATTCCTGCTCTAGTTCAAGCCCCATCATCTCTCACCTGGATGACTCCAATGGTCTCTTACTTAGCCAGTCTCCCAGCCTTGCATTGCTCCTTTCAATGTACTCATCACTACTGCGAAAGCGTGTATAGAAACAGCAGTCTTTCTAAAATGCACATCCAATGTTTCTCCCCACTTAAAGCCCATTAGTGGATCTCTAACATCTACAGAGTAAGGCTCAACCCCTTGGCATGACTGGCAAAGCCCATCGTGATCCACTTCTGCTTCAGAGCCTGTCCTCCTGATCTCTCCATTGCTGTTTTTGCTACTTGGGGTGCCCTTCCCCCAACCATGGCCTGCGAAGCCATAATCCTTCAAGATCCAGCTCTTCTGTGAAGACTTTCCTAAACACCTGCAACCCTGGAGCTGTCCACTGCCCTGTCCACCTCTGCACCCCGTTCACTTCTGTGATAACAGTTAGCGTTCAGCTTTGCCATGATTCCTCTGGAGGCCAGCACCAGTAGCCACCTGAGGAATGTTTAATACAACATTAAGAGAAAAAAAGCAGGATTCAGAGTGGAATGCTGAGTATGATTTTGAGTTTGCAAAGGCATATACACATGTAAATATACAAAAAATTTAGCCACAATCACCTCTAGATGGTGACATCATAAGTGATTTTTATTTCCATCTTTATACTTTTCTGTAGACTCTAAATTTTTTTTCTAACTAGTATGTATAACTTTTATAAAAATAATGGTATCTTAAAAACATTC